CGGCGCCAGAGCAGCCTGGGTGGGACCTGGCAGGTACTGGCTGGCCTGGATCAGGGAGATGAAAGCAGATGCCTTAGCCCCAGAGACCTAGTTTTCCCAAAGCAGCCAAAGGGTTTGGGGAAGTGGGTACATTTTTCTCTGTCTCCTCACACCTATTCCTCCAGGGCAGCTCACTCTGTCACCACTCAGATTCCACGGGCCAGGCCAGGTGTCCTAAACCCCCAAAGACTCTCTCTCCTTGACCAAAGTTGGATCAAACTCCTCTGAGTTCTCTTCTCAAGTGGGCTTCAAACTTGGTCCCTGTCCTATCTTTGACCTGCCTCCCTTACTCTTAGCAAGAATCTTGCTAAGTCAGTTTAGAGTCTTTTGTCTTTGATACCTGATCACTCTGGTCTGCCTTCAGCAAGAATCCTGTTATGTCAGTTTAGCAAAACTCCCACACCTACCTACCTACCTACTTACCTATCTATTTAGAGACAGGATCTCACTGTGCTGCCCAGGCTGGAGTGCAGTGGTATGATCGTAGCTCCCTGAGCCTCAGACTCCTGGGCTCAAGTGATCCTGCTGCCTTAGCCTTCCAAATTGTTGAGATTACAGATGTGAACCACCACCTCCAGACTGCTGCTACCCTTGATGGAAAATCACTCCCTCATTCTGCTCCTTAGCTATAAATCCCCCCTTCTCCTCGCTGTACTCAGAGTTGAGTCAGTTTCACTCCCATTACAGTTAGTCTTTATATAAGTCTTATTTACCATTTTAACAATTGGCAGAATAAGATGGACAACCAGGATGTTGCAGGGAAGGCTAACCAGTGCTTTGGGGTTGCTTCCCCCAAATCTGGAAAAATGAACATGAACATCCTTCACCAAGAAGAGCTCATCGCTCAGAAGAAACAGGACATTGAAGCCAAAATGGAGCAGAAATCAAGCAGAAAGCCAAGCAGAAATCAGGTGGACAGCCCTCAGCCCCCACATTCTGGAGAAATTGCAAATGCACATAATTCTTCCTGTGTTTCCAACAAGTTTGCAAATGATGGTAGCTTCTTACAGCAGTTTCTCAAGTTGCAGAAGGTACAAAACAACACAGATGTGCCCCCCAGCTCGGCCAGCGCCCCTCCCAGCACGCCCACCCCCAGCACTGGGAAGAGGTCCCTCCTCTTTAGCAGGCGGACGGGCCTGGGGCTGGGTAGCCCTCTGGGCCAGGTGAAGAACTACTTGCATGCCAAGCAGCTACCTGTGGCACACCGCCCGAGTGTCTTCCAGTCTCCTGACGAGGATGAGGAGGAGGACTATGAGCAGTGGCTGGAGATCAAAGCCCTGTTCACTGAAAAGGTCCCAACATAATGAGCAAGTCCCTTGCAGTGAATATCCCTAGCGCCCAGATGGTGGTCTGGAGAGTTTCTCACTAACAGAAGCCAGGACTTCTTGGAGAAATGGCTGGCTCTGGGTCTGGGCAGGAAATGTATGAGATGATCCTGCAGCACCCTCTCTCGGCAGATGGGGTTTGGAGTTTTCATGGGGACAAAGGGAAAGAAAAAAGTGGTTTCTGCCAGCTGATAGCAAGAGGCAGCTGTGAAGTAGCTGTGTCTTTCCTTTTCCTGGGGTCATGTCCAAAGCTCTCAGGAGCCAGCTTGAAGAGGCTTCACTGGCCACAGAGTTTCTATATTAATTGCTATGGATCAAAAACCCACTCAATGTGTTTAAATCAGAGTTTGTAATGCTATTTTTAAAAAAGAATGTGTCATCTTTGAAGGAAGAAAGGGAACTCATGTATTATACTGAAAACTGGTAAATAAAGAATTAAGCATCTCCCCCTTTAAAAAAAAAAAAAAAACTATTGGCAGAATATTTTTCTTTTAACATCCCTCAAACCCAGAGGACAAGGCCATGTCCTCACTCTTGATACCCCTGGCAGGACCATGATCCCCTCCCTCAGAATACTCCCACCTCCAGTGAGATGGTGTTGGACACAGGTTCCTGCGTGGGTGGTACCTCCCTTCAGGGCCCCATGTGACCTGTCCTGGCCAATGTGCTCTGAGCATAACTTTCATAAGGCATTTCTGGGCCAGGACATTTCACTGGCAGTATGAGGCCCTGCTGAGTCCTTCCCCTTTGTGACACAAAGTAGCAAAAGTCTGCTCCCGGCCAGCCACACAGTGGTTCCTCGCCTTGAAAATGCCATGCTTCCTCATTCTGCTTGGTAGCTTAACTTCAGAAACTGTGGACACAGCCCACCAGAAGAATGCCTTGAAGACACTAAGCAGAATACAGCACAGGTTCTGTCTCTTGCCTGAATCACTGCACTTTACAAAAGATAAGCCCTCACCTTCTCCCACACAATGTCTGATAGGTTTCACGATAATCCCTCCATAATCTACAGGATGTACTCTTGCACCCAAACATTGATAAAATTTTGCTTGAATGAGCTTTCTGAGCACATAGAGGACTTCCATCACCTGTAAATAAGCTGTAGGCTGAAACATTGCTTTGGAACAGACTAACAGAAACTATGGAAAATTCCTCTAGGGCTGCAATCCTCAGTAAGATTCTGAGTAAAATTAACTTTGATTCTCTAAAAGCTTATTTTTTCTTTCATTGATGAAAGGATGACATTGCTAGTCAATTATCTAACAGAAAAATAAACCAACAGAAAAAAGAAAAGTTATAGCACATAACTACCACTTTAATTAACCACCTGCGGCTTTAAGAAT